AGGCCCAGATTGGTTGTTCTTCATGCCAACTCTGTTCTTTATGACTGCAGGGCCAGCTTCTTCTACTCTGCTTGTCACAGCACCTCTCAATCCATCCCATCCCGTGAGCAGACCTATGTCTGCTCTTCTCTCCCTCGCAGGCCTATACACCGAGTAGGGTGACAGCCCCAGGAGGGCATCACTTTGCTGCCACTGGCATCTAGTCCAGCTCTGTACTACCAGGAGCTCTCATTTGGAGATGTCTTCAGCTCCTTGTAGTACATTGAAAACTAAGGTCAAGGTTCTGCATAAAAGGTCTCAGATCCCACAGGCTCCCTCTACCTGGTCTGGTTCTGTCTCACAGGCCGTAGGGTTTTGTCCACTGGACAGTGGGGAAGGCTGGGGCTGGGGATGAGAAGAGAGACCTTGATCAGACTGCTATGGGAAAGTGTGGACAGGCTCAAGAAAACATCAGCTGAAGCGCCTGGTGGGTCATCTGACTTCTTCAACAGCTACCCTGGAGCAAAGCCCTGAGGAACCCTGATCCTACTTCATGTAGCCTCTGACACCCACACCTGCCTACCTCAGACTAGCACTCTCTGCCTGCCCATAGGAGATGCCATTCTGCTGCCAGCCCGTGCCTCCCTTGTCACATTGAGGTTAGCCTCACTCAATACCTTGGGCTGTCTGGAAACAGATTTCTATCTGCTCTGGAAAAGGTGACCTGTCTGCTGTGACTTAGCTACTGCCTTCCTTACCTCAAGGCTTCTGATTTCTGGCAAGGATAGGGACCCAGGCCAGTTTATGTTTTCAGAAATGGAGGAAAGACAATAGTTAAGGTGTCTGTGCAAGAGGAGAAGAGTGGCCTTGAGGCCAGGCCTAGGGCCAGTCCAGGATGCAGGATGAGTGTAGAAAGAACTGCAGCATCCAAAAGGCCTGCGTTCAAATCTTCCCACCCTTTATTTACCACTTACCGCTGTGTGACCTTGAGTAAGTCACTTACCCTCTTGAAACCTTGATTTCTTTCTCTAGAAAATCCTACCTGGGGTTGCACAGGGATAAAGTGTGCAAATATAACTACAAGGCTAATGCAGTATGTTGTTATCTTGGACAGGACAGATTCTCAGAAGCAGGTGAGCTGAGATTGACATCTTGGCTGTTTGGCTCTTTCCCTTGGTCTCTTCCTCATAGACAGAATGGGAGAGCAAGAGCATAGAGGCTCAGAGCTCCCAACAATGGGGAATTGTTGCTCCTCCATGGAATGCTGTGAGGATAGCCCCCGCTGTCCCCTGGGCCTGCAAAGTCTGAGGCCCAGGCAGTATCCTTCCTTTGGGGCCTGTGACCCTGGGCCTATTTGCATGGGGTTTATAAATACTGGGCACACCTTGCATTTGTGTTCTGCTCACCCCTAGTCTTCCCACCACTGCACAGACACAGCAGCCTGTGGGCAGACCGATTTCCCTGTGCAGATGGGCACTGTTGCCCAGAGCCTCTCTCAGATTCACCCTGAGATGGCAGCAGATGCTAGCTTGTTTCCCTTCTAAGGTCTGGATACTCCAAATGAGAGCCAAATGGGCATTAGCACTGGCAGGTGCCTTTGCCTTCATTTTTGTCCCAGAAACTTGGGGCAAGGTGATTTGACTCCTGAATGACTCTTGGGTAGTCCATGGCAGCCCACAAAGACCACGACTCCCCAGTGCTGGTAGCACTGTGGCCTGGATGCAGGTTCAGGGCTGGGGCCCAGACCTGCTGTGGTTGTGGTTTTCCCTCCAGTGGCTTGTAACAGTAAGCTGTGATGAGTGGGAACTGAAGTACAGACCTCAAGGGCAGCCCACGGGTCAGCTCCTGCATCACCCTCCTGTGATGCTCTGATTCTTTGTCTTCCACACAGCTCTGTGAGCCCAGGGCAAGCTAGGAGCAAGGAAAGCCTTGGGCCTGCTGGCAGAGCTAGACACCAGGGGGAGCTGTGGGAGAGGCTGGCCAGCAAGTTTGTGGAGGGCCAGTGCAGGATCAGTTGCCACATGCTCCTGCAGACATGATTTTCCATCTCAGAATTGGGGACACAGAAGAGACCCAGTAGGGTACATGAGCAGACTTAGAGAGGGTGTCCCGTAGGGCATGGGGGTAGCATTAACAAAGGGGCGTGTCTAGGGCCTGTCGGGCTGATGCTCTTATCCTAGTGGGCTTCTCATGAGCACAACCTAGAGACCAGGGACAGCCCTCACCTGGAGTAGGAGGCTGCAGAAACTCAGAAGGCCTGCATAGCCACACAGCCAAGACAGCACTGGTGTAAAGGACCTGTGTCTAGCCAGCCTTACCATTTGCCACTGGGATGGCTCTAATCTCATGTCCCTGAGGAGCCTAAGCCCCTTCTCTTATTTTTTCTATGCCTGTTCAGCTTTACCCTCTGAAGTACGAAGCCAGCTGCTCACTACCCTGCCTTCTTCCTGGTGATCTCACTGAGACTTGGGCCTGCTGTTATTTGGCCTTTGGTACGTGGCCTACAGCAAGTGTGTGCTAGGAGGGGCCCTGTTTCTTACTTCAGACCCTGAAAGCACTCACTGGGGCACTTGATGCCTTAGACTCTGAGGTCAGTAGGAGGTCCAAGATGTCTTTTTTCCTTGGGGATTTGGGGCATCTGTCCAAAATTCCTACATGTGACCAATGCCAGTCCTCTGTATCTTGCTTTTCACGCCACCATTTACTGACCTCCCATTGTATTTTATTCCCACAGGGTCTCACACATGCACTCACTTCTATGACTGTCCTTGTGCTGGTTAGTTTTTTGTGAGCTTAACCCAAGCTGGGGGGGACCCCTGAGAAAACACCTCCATCAGATTGGCCTACAGGCAAGTCTGTAGAGCATTTTCTTGATGGATGTGGGAGAGCTCAGTTGACTGCAGGCAGTGCCACTGCTGAGCAGGTGGTCCTGCGAGGTGTAAGAAAGGCAGCTGAGCTTGGTGTGGTGGCGCATGCCTTTAATCCCAGCACTCAGGCAGAGAAAGGTAGATCTCTGTGAGTTCGAGGCCAGCCTCTACAAAGCAAGTTCCAGGACAGGCTCCAAAGCTACATAGAGAAACCCTGTCTCTAAAAAGCAAAAAGACAAAACAAATAACAACAACAAAAAACAAAACTCAAGAAAGGCAGCTGATGGCATGTAAAGCAAGCCAGGAAACAGCTTGGTCTCCACACTCCTGCACTTTATGATGGACTGTAGACCGTAAGATGAAACAAGCTGCTTTGGTGGTGGTGTCTGCCCTAGCCACGGAGAATTCTGCACACTAGGGCCCTCTATTCTTGCTGATCTGTCGCCCTGCAAGCCCATGCTCATGCATACTCCAGGCCAGGAGCCCACAGCAGCTTCTCTTTTCTTCCCTCCGGTTCAGTGCTCAGCATTTGCCCACCTGCTGGTTTCAGGTCAGAGACTGGGGGCAGGGGCACAGGCTGAGACTGCACACCTGCTCTCCCTTTTACTGAGTAGGAGCCAGACCCAGGCAGCATTTGGTGGAAGCGGCCTCTTTAGTCTGTCTGCTCTGGCGTGGGCCCTAAACTCTGGCTGGGCACTCTGGGCTGGTCAATGTTTCCTGTTGAGCTCATCTGGACTGGGAGCTCTGGGCAGACCTGGCTGCTGCTCTGATTGCCCTGCTGAGGAGATGGAGGGAGCTGCCTCATGCTGGGCAACTGAGTTTTGGTGGTGGTTTTGTTTGTGGTGTGTGTGTGTGTGTGTAAGGGTATCCTGAGTCCATCTTTGTATATTATAGTCAACATTAAAATATAGTTTTAGATTTGGAAGAAAATGTGAAACTGCACCCCTTTCCCACATCCCCCCACCATGTCTCTTTCGTACCTCCTTACCTGCCTGGAAGGGATCTTGGTTGCTATCTCCATTCTCATTTTGAAAAGACAGGAAATCTAAATAGGTAGGAGGCATGTGACCCAAGGGGCTTGTGTTCAGAAGGGTGCGGTGTGCTGAACCAAGTCAGGGTAGAGTTGGTAGAGCCTTCTAGTCTGGCTCAGCCTGGGTCTCAGTTTACCCATCTTAAGAGTAGGGTTCCTTGGTTGCTGAAGCAGGACTCAGTTTGGCCACGCTTCTTTGCTTGAGTGGTTATGAGCAAAAGCAGCAGAGAATCAAGAGGACTTTCATGAGCCCAGCTGAGAAGAAGGCACTGCTGACACTGTGGGGGGCCCAGCACATACTGGATCCCTGACCTGCGTAGGCGCCTGACCGTGAGAGGGGCACTCAGTGACTTCCCACATGATTGCGTCAGGATCACAGACTCAGATGTCTCCAGGGTCCATTTCAGGAATGGGGACAGCACCCTGGCCTGGCAGACTGACAAAATAGCAGTCACCATAGTGGCTGTCACCCAGTGGGTCTGGTGTCCCACCTTTTAGTTTTTTTTTTTTTTTTTTTTTTTTTGGTTTTTCGAGACAGGGTTTCTCTGTGGTTTTGGAGCCTGTCCTGGAACTAGCTCTTGTAGACCAGGCTGGTCTCGAACTCACAGAGATCCGCCTGCCTCTGCCTCCCAAGTGCTGGGATTAAAGACGTGTGCCACCATCGCCCGGCCTTTCTTAAATATTTATTTATCTATCTATCTATCTATCTATCTATCTATCTATCTATCTATCTATCTATCTATTTATTTATTTATTATGTATACTATGTTCTGTCTGTATGCCTGAAGGCCAGAAGAGGGCGCCAGACCTCTTTACAGATGGTTATGACCCACCATGTGGTTGCTGGGAATTGAACTCAGGACCTTTGGAAGAGCAGGCAATGCTCTTAACCACTGAGCCATCTCTCCAGCCCCCCACCTTTTAGTTTTACCAGGGTGTCTCACATCCAGACTTAACGTTAGACTGCCCAGCTTTCCCATTGGCACTATTTATTGCATTTGGTGTACCATGTGGGCAGTTCAGGTGGTGTGAGCTCTGTGGAACGTGGGTGCCTGTGTATCTCCAGCAGTGGTCTCCACTGCCTCTGCTCTACATGATCCATCATGTGCACAATCTCCCTGCAGGCTTCATCATGGCGCCATTCCTGCGCATCTCCTTCAACTCCTATGAGCTGGGCTCGCTGCAGACAGAGGATGAGGCAAGCCAGCCTTTCTGTGCTGTGAAGATGAAGGAGGCACTCAGCACAGGTAGTGTTGGAAGCTAGTCCCTAGAGAGACATGGGACCTTCTCGCCTAGATTCTTCTTATCTCTCTGACCTACCCAGCTGAGGACCAGAAAGACAGAAGCAACCCAGTTCTCTCCAGGGTTTGAAACTGGTTGAATTGAGCCTCCTATGTCTTAGGTTTCAACCCACGATTTCCACATGTCTGCTGGGGCTAGGCCCTGAGTTGGACACTGTGGCTATTGTGTTCCAGAACTGACTTGGCTTTGCCCTCTTCCAACAGGGATAGGTGGGCAGGTCACAGGAGATGAGACATCCCCCTCCCACCTCTGAGGGAACCTGGGGTCAGGGTGGCTTACAGGGGATGCTTCCTTCACTCTGGTCTCACCTTCTGCTCCCTGCCGGCTACTGTCTACACCCATTAGGTTCTAGCTGAGCTGCTTCTTCCTCCAGGAAGTCTCTGAATATCAGGGTCACTTGATGGCAGGAAGGTTTAGAAACACTGTCACTGTCTTTGTCCTCAATCCCGTCATGGCTGTGGCTTAGTGGTTACCTGAGGAATATTGACCCATGTCTCTGTCTGGGACTCGTGACAAGGCCAGGCCATGTTCCTTGCCACCAGTCCTTGGCTGTCATGTGGCCACACTTCCATGTGTTCACTGGGTAACAGAAAGAGAGGCTGAAATGGAGGTGGAGCAAAGGGTTACAGGGGAGGGAAAAGCAGGAGTGAAGCACTGAGGGTGGGCTGCCAGAATGCCCTGCGGGCTTGCTCAAGAGTCAGAGCAGACCCTCAGAACTGGGGAGAGAGTAGGTTGTGTGACAATGAGGGATAAGGAGGGAAGGAAGAACTTGAGTCCTAGCCTGATGTCGTCTGTCTGGCCCTGGTTGCAGAGCGAGGGAAGACCTTGGTACAGAAGAAGCCCACCATGTATCCTGAGTGGAAGTCAACATTCGATGCCCACATTTACGAGGGCCGTGTCATCCAGATTGTGCTGATGAGGGCAGCTGAAGACCCACTGTCTGAGGTGACTGTGGGCGTGTCAGTACTGGCTGAGCGCTGCAAGAAGAACAATGGCAAGGCGGAGTTCTGGGTGAGAGGGTCACGTGCTGTGGTCCTGCATGTGCATGTGTGCTTGTGGGGTAAAACTTGGTGAGTGGGCACACCTCAGTACCAGTTACCAGTACGACTCTCTAGCCCTGATGTAACAGGTCCTCAACCCCGAGCCTCTATACTTCCATTAAAAGGAGTAAAGACATCCCACCTCTGGGTCCCTTTGCGGAACGAGCACTAGTCTACAGTGCTTTATTGCAAGTCAGCTGTGCTGTTCTGACTTCATAATCCTATGTCCTTGGGAGGCTGAGGCAGGATGGTCACAGCTTTAAGACCTGGTGGGTAACCTAATGAGATCCTGTCTCAAAATTTAAAAATGTAAAATTAGACTTGGGGATTACCTCAGTGGCAGAATGCTTGTCTAGCACGCACAAAACCATAGATTCAGTCTCCAGCAGCGCCAAGTATGGAGACACTGCAGAATGTGACACCTTGTAGGCGCTGAGGGAAATTATCGTGACTACTGTGACTATTTTCCCCCCCTGTTGATTTTGGAAAGGTAGGATATGCACTGTAAAGTGATGTGCTCCCACTCAACGCCAGGCCCTGAACTCAGAGGTACCTGTTGTTTTATTTGGGAGTGTTTTAAAGATATTATTGAGATGGATCAGAGGTCCTGAGTTCAATTCCCAACAACCACATGGTGGTTCACAACCATCTGTAATGAGCTCTGGTGTCCCCTTCTGGTGTACAGGTACATGCAGGAAGAATACTCTACACATAATAAATACATCTTAAAAACAAAGATATTACAAGTCTAGCCAGGCATGGGACCAACATCATGCTACTTAGCAATAAAGAGATGAGAGAAGAAAGCCGGCAGCTTGCCTAACTCACCTGCTCTAGCTGGGACTCTAGACACGTGCATCTGTCTAGTATTCTGTCTGGTTTTCTTGGTGGCAGTAGAATGCCAGTGCCAATACAATCCTGTAGGCTTCTGCAGCCAAACTAAAAGGCTTAGTGACCATTGGAAGCACTGGTCAGCCTTCAGTGAGGAATGAAGACACTCAGATGGAAGAGAGAGTGCTCAGATTCTTAGCCAGTTAGTCAGAGACACGGGAGCCCATGGGCATGTGCTCTCCCTGAGGAAATACCCCTGGAATAGAGGCATAGGCCCTTCCTTGTAGATGGTCTGGGCTAGTGCAGAACCTGTCCCAGAGTGCAGTGTGTGTGTTTCAGGCATGGTGGTGTGATGTCTGCATGTGCATAGGGGGATGGGGTGGGAGTTTCCCTCCATGCTGCTCTGGACCACATGGCTAACAGGGTGTGGGCTGAATCCTTTCACTTCCCCAAATGTAATAATACCCTGGGTGCAGAGTGGGGCGGGGCTTGGGCGGGGGCGGGGCCCCACCCTCTCCTCCCTGCCCACCCTCTCTTCCCTGGCCACTGCCTGGCCAGGCTTTAGGGCCCCCCTTGGCCTTGGGGGAGGCCTTGGGGTGGGTTCTGAGTCTCACCTAGGCCAGGCCCACCCTCACTGATTTGACATCCCCCTCCCACCCCTGCAGCTGGACCTGCAGCCTCAGGCCAAGGTGCTGATGTCTGTGCAGTATTTCCTGGAGGATGGGGGTAAGACCCCCCACCTGGGCAGGGGCAAGCACATTTGCCAGGTCAGGGGAAAACTTTGCACTGGTACCTAAGGAAGCAACTCCCATGGGGATATGTTGGGACCATCTTGGGAGGTTTGCAGGGGGAGCGACTTTCATGAACCCTGGGGCTGACTTCACCCTATGGCTTACAGATTGCAAACAGTCTATGCGTAGTGAGGAGGAGGCCAAGTTCCCAACCATGAACCGCCGTGGAGCCATTAAACAGGCCAAAATCCACTACATTAAGAACCATGAATTCATCGCCACCTTCTTTGGGCAACCCACCTTCTGCTCTGTGTGTAAAGAGTTTGTCTGGTGAGGGTGGCAACACCTGCTGGGGTGGCCCAGGAGGGAAGGGACTGCTTATCTTCACTAGAGTATCTACCTTCACTCACTCTTCTGGGCTTTGCCTTCCAGGGGCCTCAACAAGCAAGGCTACAAATGCAGACGTAAGTCTCTCAATGCATGCGTGTGTGTGCTTAAGCGCGTGCTGTTGTTTGTATCCCTGGGTCTGGATGGCATGTCTGGACAAGAGCCCTGTGTACATGAGTGTGTGTGCTTGAGTCGGTGAGTGCCAGGCTGGCTTGTTGCAGCTTGCCAAAGCCAGTTCTGTGCATTCCTTCCCAACTCTGTGCAGGTTCTCAGGTTGTTTCCAAAAATAGACTATTGTAGAATTTACACAGAAACCAACCCCAAACCAGCCACGGGCACACACGAGGTCTCTATCCTCAGGGGTGGATGTGAGATCTTCACTAGCACTCCCCTGACTTTGTGTGCTTGTGGATGCAAGTATCTCTGATGCACAGGTGTGAACACACCTTTCACCATGACACACAGTGTGGAGCAGGCTTTGCAGGCTGCAGGTGTGGGCAAGCATAAGCTGCTCTACCATTTGTTCACTGCGAGGTCAAGTTCTTCACACTGACTAGGTGTCTCTGTTTCCTTGTCCATAAGCTAGGCTTAATAGATCCAAGTGTGAAGGTCCACTGGGATGGAATATGTAAGCTATGTTTTAAGGGCTTAGCAGGTGGTGAGCATTTAATAAAAGAAGCCTGTTGTTGTGATTATGCAAGCTTTGTATGCATGTACAGGTGTCTTTGTACTGGTGCATGTCATGTGTTCATGTAAAGGAGAGTTTACTTACTAGCTGTTTACTATCTTGAAATAAAGAAATGGGAAAGAGAGGCTCTCCGGCCCCTATACATCCTCCCTTCTGCCCACCCCCCACCCCACCCTAGGAGCCCTTGAGCCTTCTCTATTTTCTACAGCCCTTTAGATTGACCCATCTCTTGCCCCATGCCTTCCAGGCCCTTTCTGGAAGGGCTGGCAGGAGGAGGGAAAAATGAAGCCCTGAGCTGAGGCCTGTGTAGGGTGAGGGTGTGGGCGGCCAGTGAGAAGGCTGGCTTTGTGCAGAGGGCTGAGCTTGGCCAGCAGTGCCAGCTCAGACTCTGCCTCTCTTGGTAACCCCCCTTTCCCTGTCCCGGGCCTGCGCCCCTTCAAGAATGCAACGCTGCCATCCACAAGAAATGCATTGACAAGATCATCGGCCGCTGCACTGGCACTGCTGCCAATAGCCGGGACACCATCGTGAGCTGGGCCCTTGGGGTCGGGGGATTGGCTAGATAGGAGGCTGTGGGTGCCCTAGCCTTCCTTTCCTTTTTGGGCCTTTGGGTTTCCCAGACCTTTGTGGAACTCTGTTATGAATCTGGTACAGGGTTGGGGGAGAACTGGCATGTGACCCCTGACCTGTAATACCCTTCCCCTCCAGTTCCAGAAAGAACGCTTCAACATTGACATGCCACACCGGTTCAAGGTTTACAACTACATGAGCCCCACCTTCTGTGACCACTGTGGCAGCTTGCTCTGGGGACTGGTGAAGCAGGGGTTAAAGTGTGAAGGTGTGTGCTACCCAGATCCCAGCTACCCCCAACCTCCTAAGCCCCAGCACCCACCATGATACCTTCACCCCTTTCCCTGATACTTCAAAGGACTCTCATCTGTCCACACTTCATTTGGGGTGAACCCTTCATTTAGGAGGAACCCCTCCCCACTGCCCTTCAAGTCTCCATCCTGAGCTTTATCCTCAAGTGTGCATTTAGGGACTCACTGAGGAGAAGTCACTGGAAGTTCTTAACCAAGGCTTGCCACACACTAGCAGGCCCTGCTCCTGGGCTCCCTTGTCCCAGGCTTCCCTTTAAGAGAGTCTCAAGGTCCTGAGGAAAGCGGCCTATCTTGCTTGTCCCAGATGTTAAAGGGATTATAACTAGCTTCCATTCTCTCTCCCTCGCTATCCCCTCCTCTTCCTCCCCTCTCCCTCTCTTTCTCCCCCTTTTCTCTCCTTCACACCCTTTCTCTTTTTTCCCCCTTCTCTTTCTCCCTTCCTGCCTCCCTACTCCTTTCTTTTCCCCCCATCTCTCTCCTCTCTTTCTCTGACCGGGATCTCTGGAGCCCAGGCTAATCTGCAACTGTATAGCTGAAGCTTGCCTCAAATGCAGAACAGTCTTGCTATCTCAGCTTCCCAATTGCTGGGATTATGGGTGTGAGTTACTGCATCCAGATATTTTCTTTATCTTTACTTAAACCATGAAATATTCAGAATGCTCATAATGGCTTCAGATGTTCTCATCCCTGAAAGGAAGTTCAGAAGTCCAAAAGTTCTTCTGTCTCCTCCCCTCCCTGCCCCCTCCCTTTTCTCTTCCTCCCTGCCCATTTCTGAGACCTAACACTGGTTGCTCTGCTTCTGTCTCTTACAGATTGTGGCATGAATGTGCACCATAAGTGCCGAGAGAAGGTGGCCAACTTGTGTGGCATCAACCAGAAGCTCTTGGCTGAGGCCTTGAACCAAGTGAGCCAGGTAGGCAGGGGCATTAGGGTCTGGACCTAGGGTGATGCAAGCAGAGGCTCTCAGGGCTCACAGAATGCCTGAGAACCCTAAGGTGAGGCTTCTGTAAGGTGAATTTAGGTAACAGAGAGGTGGCCTTATCATCTTGGGAAATTCCTCATTCAGGCAGTTCTTTACATGAGGGGAGACAGTGACTACAGAGCTGAGCATTGGGACATTCTGAACAAGAACAGGGTCTGTGTTACATATGTGTCATATATGGTATATTGTGTGGTGTAAGGTGTGTGTGTGTTTGTGTGTGGTATTTATTTGGTATGTAGTGTGTCCAGAGTGTGTTATCTATGAGTGGGTGGTATATAGAGTATGTGGTGTGTATATACATATGCTGTATGTGCATAGTGTATATGGTTTGTTTACATGGTGTGTGTGTATATGTTGTGTGTATGCAGTGTGAGATATGTGGGGGTGGGTGGTATGGCATGTGGCGTGTATGTTGTGCATACATGTCTATGTTGTATATGCATAGTGTATATGATGGGTGCACGTGTGTATGGAGTATGAATGCACAGTGTGCGGTATGTGTTGAGTATATAAGAAAGGGTTCTCATGATGTGTATGTATTTACCTATGACTGGAACTTAAGGGATAGTAAAACTTTAGAGTAAAATTCTAGAGCAGAAGTGAGTGACTAGCAGGAGGTTTCATGGGTAAAGGCTCTTTCCACTCAGCCTGACAGCCTGAGTTCCTGCTGCAGAACCTATAGACTAGGAGAGAAGCATCCCACAGGTTGTCCTGTGGCAATGCACATGTGCGTGTATGTGCTGCACGCATGCACAAATAGATGTAAAAAAATGTTTGAAAATAGGAGAGTAAACAATTTATTATTGCTTAGGAAGGTATGGTTCAGTCACTAAAATCCTGTGCCTATAATCTGTGCCTTTTAGATCGCAGGGCCAGGGGAAAGGAGGAGTATGTCTGGGAGTCCTGGGCTCTGCCCCTCTGACGCCATTGGGATTAAGGAGGGATTGTGATTGGGGATCCTCTCACTGGCCTAGCAGTTCTGACAGTGGTCTTACCAGTTGGCTTTCTTCTTATGCCCTTTCCCTAGAGATCTTCACGGAAGCTGGATTCAGGACCATCAGAGACTGTTGGAATATACCAGGGATTTGAGAAGAAGACAGGAGTCTCTGGAGATGATTCCCTAGGTGAAGCTGGGTCAAATACCCCCATTAAATCTCCCATTCCCCAACAGTGCAAAGAAAGGTGCCAGTCTTTCATACCGAGTGAGTCCTGAGATGAGGTACTGAGCCCCTTTCTCTCCAACTCCTTCCCCAGCTCACCCTTGGGATTCCAGTAAGTCTTTTTGTCTAGTAAGTTCTGGGAAGAGGTACCACCCACGGGGAGTGAGCCCCTTCTCTCCACTCTGAGACCCTTGCCTCGCCTACTCCTAACCCCTGGGAAGGGAGTCATGTATACTGAGACCTTAGTCTCTCCGTCTCTCTAACAGACAACAATGGGACCTATGGCAAGATCTGGGAGGGTAGCACCCGCTGCAACATTGATAACTTCACGTTCCACAAAGTGCTGGGCAAAGGCAGCTTTGGCAAGGTGAGAGCAGCCTGCGACCAGGGCTCAGGGCTTTCCTGTTGAGCACCAGAGGCTGGGTGCTGGTAACCTCAGGGCCGTTGCTCAACATCCTTCCCTTTGGTAGGTCCTGCTTGCAGAGCTAAAGGGCAAAGACCAATACTTCGCCATCAAATGCCTGAAGAAGGATGTGGTGTTGATCGACGATGATGTGGAGTGCACCATGGTAGAGAAGCGGGTGCTGGCGCTCGCCTGGGAGAATCCCTTTCTCACCCACCTCATCTGTACCTTCCAGACCAAGGTTTCTGGCCTTCCCATCGTTGCCTGTGCCTGACCAACTCTGTCTTCCCCCATGGCAGGGCTGTGTCTGTTGCAGTCACACCTCCTAAGTTGTTACCCTCAGCCCAGGTCCTATGTCCCCTACTTCCTGTGGGGGCTCCATGAGCTTTACCTCTGCTTACCCCCACCCCACTCCAGGACCACCTGTTCTTCGTGATGGAGTTCCTCAATGGGGGTGACCTGATGTACCACATTCAGGACAAAGGCCGCTTTGAACTCTACCGTGCTACGTATGTGAGGGCCCTGTGTGAGGAGAGGTCTAATGCCTCTTTGGCTGAGTCTGATGCCCTTTATCCTTCATTCCTTCCCCAGGAAAGGCTTGAGTCAGGACAGGGCTGGCACTGGGGACACTTGGGACACTGTGTGGGAAGCAAGGTCCTCTGGGCCCTTGTCCTCTCTTTAGGCCTCAGGCAAAACAGCAGAATGGATAGTGCCCTCTACAGACCCTGGTGTGTGGCTCCCAGACTACAATAGTAATGCCTTCGAGCCTATGCATACCCCTAAACTATTGGCATGTATTTGCACACTTGTGTCACAGAAATGCCCTCCTACCACAGAACATTGTCTAACTTTCCCTTCCAATCTGCTGCCTGGACTTCCAGCCTCCACTCACCTGATAAAGACTGTGCTTGTTTGGGTCCATGGTGTCAGTAGAGTTATTGATAGCATTTCCTGTCCTGGGGTGGGAGATGGGACTGGTGGGCAAAGGCCTGGATCCCTGTCTCTTCCTTAGGTTTTATGCGGCCGAGATCATCTGTGGGCTACAGTTTCTACACAGCAAAGGTGTCATTTACAGGTATTGGTGGGATTAGGGCTCCTAGACTTCTGGGAAGGGTGGTGCCTAGCCTGATCACAGTTCCAACACTGCTTAGAGTGAGTGTTTGGCTGAGTATCTGCTTAAACCCCTAACTCGGTACAAGGATTTTTCTGCCCCTTCAGCTGAGGCGGAAGCAGCTCTAGGAGCTGGGAGCTCACTGTCCATATTCAGTGCTCTTGGAAGGGGGCAACCCTGCAGGCACAGAGTCTCCCTACTTTATGCTCAGCATATGCAGATGAGCCTGCATTCTGTATCTCTATGTGGGATGACATTAAACTATTTACCAGGCAGGAACTAACTGTGGAGCCAAGTTGTGTTTCTATACCTCTGTAATCCTAGCACTTGGGAGGCAGAAGCAGGCAGATATCTGTGAATTTGAGGCCAGCCTGGGCTATATAGGACATCCAGAGCTACATAATGAGACCTTGTCTGAAACAAAAAAGAATTAAAAATCAGCCTGGGCTGTATATTGATACCCTATCTCATAAAAGAAAAGAAAACCAACCAAACCAAGCCATGTGACAGTATGTATCAAATAGTGGTGCTAACCAGTTTTCTGGGGTGGGAGTGAGGAGCTGCAGAGATAACAATTTAGAGAACCTGCTTCCCTTGCAGGGTTGGGTTCTTGGCATCCATGTCCAGTGGCTCACAACTGCTTGTAGCTCTCATTCTAGGGATCTGATGCCCTCTTCTGGCCTCTGTGGGCACCTACACTCATGTGCACTTGCCCACCCACAGGCACACATACATAATGTGTAAATCAAAAATAACAATAGTAAATAAAAAGTGGGATGAGATACATACTCCAATTTGCTTGTCCATGCCTAGAATGACTGGAGGCTGTCTGGTGGCTGAAGTTCGGGATACACCTTGTGCTGTGTACATTCTATTACTGTTCCCATTCAGATGACTAATGGGGAAATCAACATGGTCCCTGCCCTTGTTGAGTCAGATAAACCAGAGCTGGGAAGGGGGTGGGACATACCTGCCAGCCAGTTAGGGGACAAGGGGCAAGTGGTGTCAGTACCTCTGAACTTCACTCAAGGCTTCAGGAAGTAGGATATCATGTGTCCCACATTTAGCATAGAGGGCTGCTGCCAGAAGGCACCTTTGTTTAGCATGCTGAACTCACCTTTCTCCTCTGTGTTCTCTATGCTCCAAGGAAAAGCTGTGGACTTGCAGGGCTGAAATCCAGCATATGGCAGCAAGGCTAGGGAGGATTAGAACTGGCACCCAGGGATATTCTGTCCCTTTTTTCCTCAGGGACCTCAAGCTGGACAATGTGATGCTGGACCGAGATGGCCACATCAAGATAGCTGATTTTGGGATGTGCAAAGAGAATATATTTGGGGAAAACCGGGCCAGCACCTTCTGTGGCACCCCTGACTACATCGCCCCTGAAGTGAGTAGATGTCTCTCACTCAACTATGCGTTTGACCTTGTGTAGTGATGAGGCAAGCAGGCCTGCTTTCTGTCCCACCCGCAGGGCTAGCTTTACACCCGAAATAACACACAAATTGTATTCATTTAAACACTGCCTGGTCATTAGTTTCAGCCTCTTACTGGCTAACTCTCACATCTTGATTAACCCACATCTATTAATGTGTGTAGCACCATGAGGTGGTGGCTTACAGGGAAGATTCTAACCTGCGTCCATCTTGGGAAAGGAGAGCTATAGTATCTGCCTCACTGCCTTCTTCCTCCCAGCATTCTGTTAGGTCGACTCTGGCTATCTAAGCTGCTGTCCTATCAAAAAGCCAAGGCAGTTTCTTTATTAACCAATGAAATAACACATAGACAGATGACCCTCCTCCATCAACCTTGGTAGGGTAGAGTCATGGAAGCTTCCCAATGAAGGCTGGTTCCCTACTCTGACCACTGTTACCCCCAGATCCTGCAGGGCCTGAAGTATACATTCTCTGTGGACTGGTGGTCCTTTGGGGTCCTCCTCTACGAGATGCTCATTGGTCAGTCGCCCTTCCATGGTGATGATGAGGATGAACTCTTTGAGTCTATCCGGGTGGACACGCCACACTATCCCCGCTGGATCACCAAGGAGTCCAAGGACATCATGGAGAAGGTAAGCCTGGCTAACACATGGCTTTGGGGTTCCAGGAGATCCTGTCTCTGGAATAGGGCTTCCCTCAAGCTCCATGCCTGACATATCCCACGTCTTGAACTGTCCTTGTTCCCAGGGCACTCTTTTCTAGGCCTCCTGTCTGGAATCAGCAGGGTGTAGTGACTAAGGGTTCGAAGGGAGACAGACAGACCTGAGGCTGAGTCTGGCTCTGTCTGTCTAGTGCTAGTGACCTTGGGTGGGTCACTTAACTTCCCTTTCTGCATCTTCAGACTTAGTAGCATCCTCAGAATTAGTAGAAGCACTAAAAACTGGGAACACTCAGCACCTGACTGACTACGAGTGTCAGTAAAACATAGAGCTTTAGCCTCAGCCCCAGAGTTCCTGGGCTGAGCCTGCCCGGCCTTGGAGCCCTTGATCTGCTAGCAGTTTGCAAAAGCTCCAGTTTCTCATGGCCTTGAGTCCTGACCGAGGCCCCTGTGGATTGCAGCTGTTCGAGAGGGAGCCAGTCAAGAGGCTGGGAATGACAGGAAACATCAGACTTCATCCCTTTTTCAAGACTATCAACTGGGTCCTGCTGGAGAAGAGGAAGGTGGAGCCACCCTTCAAGCCCAAAGTGGTATGACACCCACCCCTGTTCCAAGCCTGGTCCCGCCCTTGCCCTGCCCCCTTCCTGCAACATTCCCATACTTGCCCCTTTTCCTTTCCCAACAAACCAGCTTCCTGTTCTCCCCTGGCATGCTGTATCAAGCCTGTGCTCTCGCGTTCTCATAATCTCCCCAGTCCGACTCCAGCAGTCATTCACAGACATTTGGAACTGTGGACTCAGGGTCGTGAGCTGGAGAATATGCACTTAACCTAGTGTGTACAAAGCCATAGGTTTGATCCTCTGCACCACCAAATAAGAGGCAGAAACAGGCAGGCCTGATAGAGCATGCCTCTAATCCCAGTACTTGGGAGGCAGAAGCAGGAGAGTAACCACAAGTCTGAGGCCAGCCCAGTCTTCATAGTCACTTCTCAGCTGGACAGGAGTGTGCAGCGGAACCCTGTTTCAGAACAGCAACAAAGAAGTCGTGTAGTGGTGGCAGTAGTGGTGGTGGCAGGTCAGCCGGGGATGCATAGCGTGATCTTGTCCAAGAGGCCAGGGACCAGGAGACAGGACCTCACTGTATTGTTCAGTCTGACTCAGGCTGGCCTCTTACAGGTGCACACCACCATAAGTCAGCCACCTTGTAACTAAACTCAATACATTGTGCTTTGGAAACCATGTCTTGGCCACCACAGTTAGGGTTTCACCTCCATCCATCTACTTATGAATCACATCCATTTTCCAATTGATATTGGACGTGCTGAGTCCTTATTGGAGCAGAACGCTGTGCTGGGCTTTGGTGAAGTAAGAAAACACCCTAGTGCTGGAGGAGCCCCACCTGGTGACAGTCTGATACTGGAGATGTCACAGGGCACACATCTAGGGTTGCTTTGGGAGTGTATATCAGTAGGAGCCTGGGATGCAGGGAGCAGAGTGGTCTGAAAGACTGCTTGGAAGAACTGCTCTGTGTTAATAGGGCTTAGGATGTCTTCAGCTAGAGGGCATTCCTGGTAGTGAGCGATGATTCCATCAAGGTCCCAGGTCCTCAGAGGCCACTGGACTGGTTGGAATAGGGAGCGGATAGCACCTCTGGGAAGTTGGAACTTGCTGGTTGTGATGTTGTACATGTGTGATCCTAACACTCCGGCGGACACAGGAGGTTCTCAACTTGAAGCTAGAATACACAGCATGGTCCTGTCTTTTAAAAGAGAAGTTAGGGCACAGTATCCCTTTGTGATCACAGCGTCTTCTGCCTGCCTTTATCTTGCTTGCTTTCTGTCCTCTTCTGGGACACACTGTTCCCACTGGGCAGTCTCTGTGACATGCCCCACATTTGTGCTTTGAAGCAGCAGGCCACTTTCCTGTGTGGATCTTATATAAGTTCCTGTGTATATCTTATATTTCCTTTTGTGGATCTTATATTCAGAGGCTCCCGGAGCAGGGTGACAAGCTGGCCCAGCTCTTGCTACAGAGAGAAGTTTCTTCCTGCACACACTAGTCAGGTGTGATGCCCCACTGGGGGCAGGGCAGGCATGTGAGCAAGGCAGTGGGCTCTTGGCCCCAAGAGTGGGCCTAATAGGAATTGAGCCCAAGGGCTCTAGTGTAGCTAGAGCTCAGTGGCAGAGTGCTCACCTAGCATGTCAGTGTCCTCCCCAAATAAAGGTAAAAATAAAAAACAAAAGCCAGGCATGGTAGCACATAACTGTAATCCCAGCCCTTAGGGAGTGGAGGCAGAAAAATCATGGGTTCACCACACAGCAAGGCCTAACATCTCTGAGACTGTTTTCCTGCAAATAAAAGAGTAGCGTTTCTCTCTGGGACTGCGGTGTAGGGTAAGATGAAAAAAGGATGTAAACCCAGGGTTCCCCTAATCTACCACTTTTCAGAAGAAGCCAGAAATCTGAGTTTCCCTGTTAAAAATATTGTTTCGGAGTCTATCAAAGCCTAGCACTGAGGGCTAGGAATGTAACTCAGTCGTGAAGCACTTGCTACACGCACACGAGGCCCTGGATGTGATTCCCAACAATTTGCCAAACAAAACCAGTACTAGCTAAATGCTTGTGCCTTCTAGCTCAGTTTGGCCCGAGGGTCACCAGCGACCTATCTCATCCAATCCTTCGGGGCAGTGAATTAGGAACTTGTCTTATAAACAGCCAGAGAATAAATATTTAGAGCTTTGCGGGCCAGGCAGTCCCAGTGCAGCCATACTCCATGTGTTGACGAGTGTGGCTGTATAAAACTTGATTTGTGGACACAGAAATTTGCATTTGACTTCATTTTCATGTGACATTGGATATCCTTTTAATTTTTTTTCCCCTAACCGTTTAAAATCATAGAGGCTAGAGCTGGGAGTGGGGGTGCTTGGTGATGATGCCAGCACCTGGGAGGCTGAGGCAGGAGGATCATGAATTTGTAGGCAGCCTGGGCTACATGAGACTTTGTTTCAAAAACACCAAAACCAAAACCAACTAAACAAAAATAGCAAAAGCTATTCTTAGCTTATAGGCCCCTTTAAAAACAGAGCAGGAGACATGTGGCCCACAGGCTGAGTTCACCGGCTCCTGTCCTGAAGGGTGCCCCCTGTCTTTACTAACCCCGCGCTCCTCTCCCGCCTTCTTCATCCCTTGGGGAATTAGCAATACCCTATGGTGGGACTGCCCTCAGGCCACCAGTGATACCCTCTTTCCTGACTGAGTAGACTGCCCTGGCTTCCCTGACCAGGACCTCAGAGGCCTGGGTGCCTGTTGTGCCTGTGAGGGCAGACTTTGGAGATACCCTGGCGGTCACCCTCACCCTCTGCTGCCTTCCCTCACAGAAATCCCCCGCAGACTACAGCAACTTTGACCAAGAGTTCCTGAGTGAGAAACCCCGCCTCTCCTACAGTGACAAGAACCTCATCGACTCCATGGACCAGGCAGCCTTCCGTGGCTTCTCCTTCGTAAACCCCAAGTTTGAGCAACTCCTGGACAAGTGAGCTCCCCGACCTGCTTTACACGCCAGTAGAGCAGGCCAGTCTGCCCTAGTTCCGCATCCGCATGCCCGTGGACACCCACGGGTGACTGGGTGTTTGCTGCTGCTGCCTCCTCACCTCAGAGGGTTCGGCTCTTGTTGCCTGGGCTCCCAGTACTCCTTCTGTGAACTGTTTGTGAATTTGCTTTCCCTTTGCCGTCCGAGGGAAACTGTAAATCCTGTGTTTCATTACTTGAATGTAGTTATTGAAATATATATTATATATATGCACATATATATAATAAGCTGTATATATTGCTTAGTATAGAAAGCATGTAGGGGACTGGTAATGTGTTGACTTTTTTTAAAAAATAAAAAGCATGTATGTGTATGTATATGTTTATATACATACTTATACATATATATGTATGTGTATATATATGTGACCAAAGGAAAAAGCACAAGCTATCTGAACCACAAGGTTTTTTTTGTGTATCTAAATAAACACTGAATGGTACCAACCTGGCTGTGGGGACATTTATGTCCCAGGAAGCTGGTAGCAGGTGCTCCTGTCACTTTTAACTGCAGTCACAGACTCCTGAGTCTTCATGCAAATATGTTTGTATTTAGGGGTTTCCTTATTCTTGAGGGCCGTGGGACTGCAGGAGCCCCAGATGTCTCTGTGGGGTGATGGTAGGAGGTGAGACTGGACAGAGAGGGTCAGCCCAGAAGTTGAGAGAAGCAGAAAGCCAGGTCTGAAAACTGGAGCCAAGGCTCTGAGTTGGGAATCTCAGGGCTGGAGTACGTGCATAGCGTGCGATAGAACTCTGGCTTCCAGCTGGCGCTCGATCACTGCTCGTGCACACACACTGTTGGTAGAGCACTTGCAAACATGCATGAAGCCTCATCTGCAGCAGTGCATAAACTCCACCTTTGGGAGGGGGAAGCAGGAAGATCAGGACTTCGGGTTCATTCTCAGCCACACAGTGAGTTTCAAGGCCAGTCTGGGCTATAAGAAACCCCGTTTCAAAAATAATTTTAAAAAGACTTAGAGGTTGCCCCCTATATTAGGCAGGAAGACAAAGAAAGGAAAAAGCTTTTAAGTATATCTGGATTCAAATCCCAAAGTAGCTATTCAGCAAAGATCATGACCCTTCATTGTTTTAAGTCTCAATTTATCTGTGAAATGGGATCAGGTCTCTTTTTGAGACAGGGTCTCTCTGTGTAGTCCTGACTGTCCTCAAGCTCGCTATGTAGACCAGGCTGGCCTCGAACTCAGAGATCTACCTGCCTCTGCTTCCCGAGTGCTGCTATTAAAGGTGTGTGCCATATGCCTAATTGTAACTGCACATCGTATTATTGCTTCTCTTCTTTGGGAGATGAGTCGGCCTCTAAATTCTAGAATGATTCCACAAGAGTTCTTGCCTACCTGGAGGAGGGGAGGGGAATGCCTGGATGGTGTGGCTGTGAGGGTTGCTCCAGTCTGCTGGGAGCACAGACTGCGCTGTCAGGGAAACGGGGCTGCCTGGGAACCAGCATGGCCTTGCTGTGCAGGGGCCCTGCCTGGGCTCTCTCCACCACCCCGTGCCTCCCATTGTACAAGCTACCAGTTTGTCCCTACCTCCCTTCCTGCCTGCTGCCTGGAGCACAGGTCTCAGACAGGGCCCTCCCTTGGGCCCCTCTGGTCTAACCCCTGGGGCCCAGCTGGCTCTTTGTCCTGGAGGTGGCTGAGGCAGTCCTAGTATCTGATTGGCTGGTCCAGTAGCCATGCTGCTGACTGCCAGCAGTTCATTCTTCTGGGCTGAGGTACAAATTTCCACAGCCTGGGAAGGCAGGATGGACTGGAACTGACCCAGGGAGAGGGCTGGAGTGTTGGAAGTGTTGTTCCATTCTCTCTCTCAGGAAACACTCCTGTCTCGCACTGTACCTGCCCCGGCCAGCCAGGACACAGGGAGCAGTGATACTCATTCTCCTTACACTCACAGACAATGTGACACGGGCTGTGATGGAGAACACTGGGATAACGGAAGCCTCGAGGAGGTGCTTAAGGTCCCCCGTCTCCTGCTGCCACTACAACATGAAAGGCCTCCAGAACCTCCATGAGGCCATGGGCAATGGCTATAGCCCAGGAGTGGTGGCGTTTATGTTTAGGGCCACCCGCCATCCTGCAGCTCCAAGTCAGACTTTTGTTCACAGCGTTGCATGCAAAGATGGGGTTCCTCCTCTGAAAGGAAGGGCTGAGTGGTTTATCAGCATCAGGGCAGGCACTGAGGAGAGGCTGGGACACAGTATATAAAAACCAAGGCTGAGGTTTGAGTTTCGCTGTGCTACCCACACACTGGGTCGTTCTTGCCAGTCCCAGTCTCCTCACCTGTGGAAGGGAACCACCAGTCTGGTGGAGCAGCCGGTTCGAGAAGCCTTGATCCAGGGCCAGTGACCGGTGGGTACAGCCTAGGTGGGAACCTTCCTCAGGAAGCCTGATTCCCTGTGGGAAGTGGCTCTCGGGGATGCTGTCACTGCCTGGTTACCTGGAAGGGCACATGTCTCTAGACCTGCTCCCAGCTTTTGAGTAGGTGTCAGGTCTGGCCTATGGCCTAAGGAAGTAACTTCTCAGGCTAGACCCAAAGCCACTTTTCCTGGCATCGAGGGGCCTGGAAGAAGGCAGGTTGCCCTGTTCCTTGCCAGGCGGGTAGGCAAGCAGCAGGAAACTCCATCCTCAGTGTACAGGAAAAGCAAGTACCCCACTCAGTGCGGGACAGACGAACACAAGATGCTCCGTAGCCTGGGGACAGGAGCACAGACGCCAAAGCCAAATTGTCTTGGTTTCAGTACTGTGGATCCCGGTGACCTCAACAGTGACTTAGTCTCCCAGAGCCCCACTTTGATTTCCTCCCCTGGAAAAAGGGACTGGTCACGATATTGCTGTTGACCGTGATGACACAGTGGTGTCATGTATTGCATAGACTCAGCTTAGTGACTGTTAGCCACTGTGCCCTGCCCTTCTACCCCATCCTGGCCTCCTAGGGTATCTGGCTAGACTGTAGGTAGCCACCCAGTCATCCAGTGCTCCCCCTTCAGACAGGGGTGCTCGAGAACCTTAGGCCCAGACATACTAGGATGCCACTTCTGCATGTGATACCCAGAGGAAACCAGAAGTGAGCAGAACTCTGGGCATTTGGGGAACTGTTTAAATATTTTCCTGACAGGTGCAGGGCCAAGAGGTTGCAAAAAGAGCTCAGTAGAAAACTCGTGTTTCGATGGGGTTCTTCTACCTTAGTGCTTCATGTGTCTGCTTTAAAACATATTTGTAGCCGGGCATGGTAACCCGTGCCTTTAACCCCGAATTCAAGGCTAGCCTGCCTGGTCTACAAAATGAGTTCCAGGGCAGCCAGAGCTGTTACTTAGAGAAACTCTGTCTCAAAACAACAAATACTGTTTTTAAGTGTGTGTGCACGCGCACACGTGTGTGTGTGTGTACACACATGCGTGTGTTAAGTGTAGGTACCCTCAGAGGCCAGGGGAGTCAGATCCTGTGGGTGGGGCTGGAATTACAGGAAGTTGTGAGCCACCTCTTTCAGGTGATGGAAACCAGACTCGGGTCCCCTGAACCAATGAGCCATCTTCCCAGCCCCAGATATACCTGCGTTTGCGGGCACTGGCATCTCGGGGTACAGGACAGAGCTATGGAAGAGAAAGACACCCAGGTGAGTGAATGAGTGTGTCGATGGATGGATGAAGGACCACCCGGACTCTGCCTGCTGGACCACCTGGAACTCCAGGGTCTGTCAGCAGTGCACAGTGATGAGGGGTATAGTCTCCGTGCCAAGTTCTGAGCGGGGGGGGGGGGGGG